TTATGGATATTTGCTTCTTTCGCAGCCTCTTCAATTTCTTCTGTAGTACAACCTTCTTTTCCATATGCCTTTTAGAACAGAAAACAATTTCAGACAATGAATTATCAATGAATGATTAAAGATTATAGATAAATTAAGAAACAATAAACATACAATATTCTCTGCAATTGTCAAATCAAACAACACAGGTTCTTGTCCAACCAACGCCATATTCGCTCTTAAATACTCTAAATTCCATTGCTTTACATTAACACCCTCAATTTCAACTTCTCCAGAATTCACATCATAAAATCTTAGCAATAATGAAATAACCGTCGATTTCCCTGAACCTGATGAACCAACAAGCGCAATAGTTTTTCCAGAATATATTGACAAGTCCAAACCTCGAAGTATTGGTATATCCGGACGAGCAGGATAATTGAAACGAACAGAGTGGAATGAAGAATCTCCTAATACTGGTGCAGGACGGTCTTTGCCTTCGTTATCTGTAGGATCTATAAGAGATTTTCTATCTAAAATTTCAAAGATTGAGATGGCTGCAACTTTTGCTTTTGCGACATCTGGTGCGAATGTACTAAAATCATAAAAAAAAAAAATAAGTAATTATATTATTAACCCTGAGATGATAATATAATTTTAAGTAAAAATTTAATTTACCTCATTTGTCCAAGAGAAACAGCGGTAAACACAACAGCAAACATAACTCGAAGCATTTGTTGTAAATCATATTCTTCAGCCTCAATTAATTGTGCACCATACCAAAATGATAGAGACCAAATAAAGTACAAAATTCCTTGAGATGTACCAAATCCAAATGATGATAACAAACTTCCTTTAATTGCGATTTTATGTGGCTCTCTTATTGCATTATGATATACTGTTTTGAATGTTTGTTCTCTAGTTAATGCTGCAATCGTTCGCATATTGGAAACACTTTGTTGAACTATTTGACCGGTGCCTTCATATGCTGCGCGAGTCTGATAAATAAATATAAAATCGTAAACTATATGGCAATTATAGTTGATGAAAATAATAATAATAATAATAATAATATATATATATATATATATATATATAATATCACATTATTAATTACCTTTGAACCAAAACCAGTCATCGCTCTCATCTCTAAAAAGCCAGCAACTACAACAGCAGGTGAAGCAGCAAGAATGACTAATGTCAATTTCCAACCAAAACCAAAGGCAATTCCCTACATTAAATAAATATTTCTTTAGCTTTTAATCTTTTTTTTTTTTTTTAATAATAGAAAAAAATTAATCACGATGCATACAAATCCAACAGCCAAGTTAAAACAATTCTGTAAAACAGTTCCCATTAAACTACCACTTAACCCTTCAACTTTCGTTGCGTCTACTGCCAATTTTGAAGTTAACACACCAGTTCCATTTTTTTCATCATCAAAGTATGCAATTTCTTGGTTTAATAATGCTTCAAAAGTTAATCTTCTAAGACGTTTTGTGAGACGTTCACCAGCTAACGTGAACATTGATAATTGAGCAAAATTTGCGAATAAACTGACTACAGCCAAAAGTGCGAAACATAAAGACCAGAAATTTGCCGATCGTCTAAGTTCATCAGGTCTATTATATAATAAATTGTTACGTATAAATAATTATGAATAAATAATTATTATGAATAAATAAATTAATATATATAAGTTCTTACTGATCAGTTCGAGCAAAAACATTCAGAATTGAAGAAAACACCAAGCTGAATAAAGGCATAATAGAACCATTAACTTTTTTTTAAAAAATAAAATTAATAATATAATATATTAGTTCACAGTGAAACACAATAATTAAAATACGCAATATCCAATTAATTAATAATATAAACATACTTCCGGAACCAATACAACCAATAAACATTAATCCATATTCAGGTTTACACAATCGAAATACTCTTGCTAATGGCATTTTTTCTAACATTTTTTTTTCCATATCTTCTTTTTTAATTTCATCATCAGTCTTTAGAGATTTAACAGTTGATCCTCTGGTAGACATTTTTCTTAAATGTAATTTATGTTTCTTTTCATCTATTAAAACAGTAGTATCATCATTAGAACTTGATTCAAATTCTTCTTCTTCATCTTGATTAATTTTTTTTTCGGTTTTTTTAGTTTCTAATTCTTGAGCTTGAACAAGGCCATAATAAACTCCTTTTTTAGCAATTAATTCATCATGACGTCCAATTTCAACGATTTCACCTTTTTTCATGACAACTATTTTATCAGCATGTTTAATAGTTGACAATCGATGTGCTATTATTATACTATTTATTATAATTGATATGATTAAGTA